CCGCCCCCGCTGCCCCCCGGCCGGCCCCGCTCCCGCTGCCCCTTCGCGGCGCTCGTCTCGTCCTTTTCCCCGTTCCCCGCCGGCGCTTCCCGGGGCCGGGGCGGGCCAGTCCGCCGCCGCCGCCCCGCCTGCGCTGCCCCGTCCCCCTGCGCGGCTCTCCGGGGCCGGGGCGGGGAGGGAGGGCCGGCGGGGTGTCCCCTGGCTCCCGGCCTGCCGGGGGGACGGTCCGCACCCCAGGCTAGACCGAGCTGGTGTGTGGGAGAGGCTCAGCCGAGCTCGGAAACCCTCCGAAGAAAAGCAGAGCAGATTTCACCACCCAGCTAGGTTTTCTTTGCTCTTTTTTTGATTTAGATGCGTTGCTGTTCCTGTAGAGACTTTGTTGCTTCACCTCAGACCTATGTGACTCTGGTGGAAGGATCATGACTGAAGTCCTCATCTCTGCTGCTCTGAATGGAACTGAACCCAACCTGTTATCCAGCAGTGGCTGGTCTGCGGGAAACGCCACCACCAAGTGTTCCCTGACCAAAACTGGCTTCCAGTTCTATTACCTGCCCACTGTCTACATTCTGGTCTTCATCACTGGGTTTTTGGGCAACAGCGTGGCCATCTGGATGTTTGTCTTCCATATGAGGCCTTGGAGCGGCATCTCAGTTTACATGTTCAACTTGGCGCTAGCTGATTTCTTGTACGTCTTGACTCTGCCTGCCCTCATCTTTTACTACTTCAATAAAACAGACTGGATCTTCGGAGATATCATGTGCAAGCTGCAGAGGTTCATCTTCCACGTGAACCTGTACGGCAGTATTTTGTTTCTGACGTGCATAAGCGTGCACAGGTACACGGGAGTGGTGCACCCCTTGAAGTCGCTGGGGAGGCTGAAGAAGAAGAACGCGGTGTACATCAGCACCCTGGTCTGGGTCATTGTGGTGGCCGTGATTTCTCCAATACTCTTCTTCTCGGGAACGGGGATAAGGAGAAACAAAACCATAACGTGCTACGACACAACAGCTGACGATTACCTGAGAAGTTACTTCATTTACAGCATGTGCACCACCGTGCTTATGTTCTGCATCCCCTTCATACTCATTCTTGGTTGCTATGGGCTGATTGTGAAAGCTTTGATTTACAAAGATTTGGACAATTCTCCTCTCAGGAGAAAGTCAATTTACCTGGTTATTATTGTGTTGACGGTCTTTGCTGTGTCTTACCTTCCCTTCCATGTGATGAAGACCTTAAATCTAAGAGCCAGGGTGGATTTTCAGACTCCACAAATGTGTGCCTTCAACGATAAGGTTTATGCCACTTACCAAGTGACGAGGGGTCTGGCCAGCCTCAACAGCTGCGTCGACCCCATTCTTTACTTTCTGGCAGGTGATACCTTTCGAAGGCGGCTTTCCAGGGCAACCAGGAAATCATCCAGAAGAAGTGAACACAACGTGCAGTCCAAAAGCGAGGAAATGACTCTCAATATTTTATCAGAGTATAAACAGAACGGAGATACCAGTTTGTGAACAAATGCGAAAGATGTGGGAACAGTTTGAAAAAATCCTCTGCTTTGAGACAGTAGGACACTGTAGTGCTACAAGTGTGTGAGGAAAATACCAGTCTCTCAAATTCGTTTTAGGTAAAGCCTCATTTTCTGATCTTAGAAAAGGCTTAACAAAGTATGTGGAAGAATTTTAATGGAAAATAACGTGTCAAAATTCAACTTTCCTTCTCCTTACAATACTCTCATTTCTTTCTGACTTGTGTCAGATAAAGTAAAATGAAGTAAATCCCCTAAAGGAAGAAAGCAATCCAACTGCTTCTGTTTTAATGACTTAGTCTCCCACGTTCAAAAATGTTCTCAATCAGCCTTTCTTTAAAAATAGGAAATAAAAATAAGAAAGAGCAGTATCTTCTCTTCTGAGGCTCAGTCCACATACATAGCCTTTTGCTCACTTGGTGTGGTAAATGACTATTTATATTGGAGTCACGGTGCAGTTTTTCTCACCTTTACAGTTTTATTATATCTTCATCTACTTCTAGTGTTGATAATTATTTGATAGTTTGGTAGCGTTTATGATTCAGTCTTTGAGTGCTGGTGTTTTGCAAAAAGGTAGGCTTACTGATGTCTGCATGATTATGCGTTCAGGTGACGACGGTTGTTCATGAAAAATCTGGACATCCCCTTTAAAGGCAAATTGTCTTCCAGGTGAACTGAGGCCTCAGCCCCTGGCGGGCAGATAAGCAGGTCCCTCCAGGAGCTGGTGCAAGCAGGCACCCGCTTTGCACGTGCGGTACGTAGTGGTGTGTTTTGTGAGCAGATGTTGGTGTGCAAACACCTGCGGAGGTGGTTTGGCTCTGAGCAGCCGGTGCTCCCATCCTGCCTTCCCTGCTGGGGAAAACCGGCGCGTTGTCAGCCGGAGGAGCCACGGGATGGGGCCGAGCAGGGACTGGGCTCAACTGGGGAGCCCCTGCACCAGCCACCCTTCCCAAAGGCTGGCCGGCATCTCGCTGCTTGACTGCCAGTGTTGGGAGCCCCCCTGGAGTTCTGTTCTTTACGGGTAAAACAGGAGAAGTGTGTGTGCTGGAAGTAACAGTACCTTTCAGACAAGTAAAACTACAATTGCTCGAGTTACTTGCGTTCTCATTTGGTACGAGAGTATTTCTGTTCCTGGGAATCTTTATAGATAACATAAGAGTTGTTTCCCAAGAAAATAATTATTAAAAATGGATAATATAAATGGATTATATATGTTATATATACAAATAATTGGGGGGAATTAATTTTTTTGTACTGTGACAAATAAATTACTGTACTAATAAGATGTTGCAATATACTAGAGGCCAAATCCGGCCCTTTATTTTATATCTTCTCCAAATGTGGAATAGATCATCCAGAATTAGCCAAACTGCAATACTGTGTAACACAAGAGCTAGTGATCAGAGCACAGACAAAATCTTAAATGGGTAGTCTTTTCTCATATTTTTAAGAAATGTATTTGAAAATATTGTGTGCTAAAAATGGTATGAAAGCATGCTCTAAATTATACATTTAGTGTACAAAATTAAGTTCTATGTAATCCTAAGGGTGATTTTAACAGATCTTTGTTCCTCCAGTCTTCATAGTAGGAGTAAAATATTTCTATTTTACTTACTAATTTCCAGTGATTGGTAACAAACAAGAATAGCTCTAGTTATTTTTTGACAACATTGTAAAGCAGCTTCTGTTCACACGTATAGCTTCTAATCTGCAGAATCCCTATTTATTGAACTTATTTATTAGAAAGCTAAATGTAAAGTATGTAAAGTGTGGTTCTCCGTGTCGATATTCAGAATTGGGCATTAATGGAAAATTTAACAGCATGTTTCAATTACTGTAATACCGTGTCTTCTAACAGAACATCTTTACAATAAACTCAATTCCACCCTGACTATTCACTGTTGATATGTAACCTAGTGATAAATTAAACTACTGATTTATAGCCTAAAGATAAATTAAATTGCTGCTTAGGAAGCATAGCTTCTTAGAGCAATGTTAAGATCTCATTTAGCCCTATAAGATGAAAAATGTAGAGGTAGTGAAGAAATCCCAACCAAGGGTCAATTGCTAATTAATCCCTACTGACAAAAGACTGTGGAACAGCACAGTCTATTTATATCACCAGAGAATGAGCCTGATTCACAATAAATGACTTCTCCTATTATGTGATTATTTGAGGCTTCATTCAACTGAGGCATGTCTTGTTTGGAATGGCAGATGAATTAAACGGAGAGAGAGCATAAAAATAGGATATTCTCTGAATCTGATTCTTTAGGTCTGAAATTGTATTCATTTCCCAGCATTTCGTGGTCTATTTCTCTCTTTTTTTTCAGTTAGGAAATGAAATGTTCCCCTAATCCGTGTCTGAAAAAAGATCCCAAACAGACACAGCAGAATGTAAAACCCTACGCCCAGGTTGGTCCTTACGCAGTTACAGCCTTTTCGCAATATGTCTCTCTAATATGGCAAAGTTGGCCCATTATTGCAGTGTGTATGAAACCCAAGTGCAACAAAACCCTACGAGTCTGGCTCTGGCAGGCTGGGCACGCTGCAGGAGAGCCCCACGGGCCGGGAGACACCCCACCAGGGAGATGCACCTTCTGGAGCTCAGGACAGCCGTGCCTCTCCTGTTCTGTCTGCCCTGCAGTCTTCTGGGTCTTGAACTGGTTTTTGTCCTTTCCTCATGAGCCGGTTGAAAGCTCGCTCTCTCTTTCATCCTGCCTCGCTGGAGAGAACTGTGCAACTGGCCGGGTGATGCAGCCAGTTCATTACTGAGGTCTGCTCTGATGCTTTATTTACTGAAGATCACTTCTACTGATGCTCAGCCACGGCAGGGGACTGCACTCGGCGGCGGCGCCTCAGAGAAGCGTACGGGAGCCTCCCACTGAACACCAAGAGGGGTGATTAAAAACATTTTACACAGAGTTTATTTTCCATCTTTCAGATCCGATGGCCTGCAGAGCTAACACCTCAAACTGCGTCCTGCGCCGGTGTGACTCCCAGCTGTGCACACGCCGAGATGTCACAGCCTCCTCTGAGTCCAGCTGGAACGTGAAGCTGAGCTTCGTGATTTCATGTACAGTTCCTGCTCTTTTTTTAAGCATTGCTATATGTGACATGGGGTAGTTGGAACCATTGCAAAATCACACCGAGTTCATATCTCCTCCCACGTGGTTACTTTTTACCTGCAACATGACGGAGCCGTGTCTGTTGGCTCACCCTGCCAGAGGAGGCTGGTCAGACGGGAGGGATTAGACACCACCAGGAACAAAGACCAAGCAGATCTTCTCCAGGCAGTGTGAAGGCTGGAGCCATTAGCTCCTTGGGGGAACTTGGCAAGTCTGTTCTTAAATACCTGCCTTTTGGCACTTGTCCTTACTATGATGTGTTTGTGGAAGACAATCAGTCCATCAGCCTCAGTGGCCCAAGGAGATCCCTGTGTTCATACAGACACCTCTGTGACGGGTGCAGTGGAGGAAGCCTTTCCCTCAGCCACTCCACTGGAATTCCTTTCTCACCTTTCCAATATGCAAAGGGAATGCAATCTCAGCTACAGCCTTTGGGCTGTTAATTAATAAGCAATGATGATGATGGGCTGTGTTTACTGGGAACAAGACTCAGCTCATTGTCTCACTACAGGAAGACCACCTAAAAGTTCCACCTTCCCTCATTGTGCTGTATTAGCCTTCGACTAGCAAGTGAGATTAAACAGTTTATGATTTCATGATTATGCTTTTAACCTATTTTTCCTCTGGGTACATTTGGGAATCTTTTAATAACTACAAATCATTTCACTGAAGACGCCAAAAGATTTGAGGTAAATAGTTATTTAGAGCTTAAGTTTTGCCAAAGCATTCTACAATGATCCACGCCGAAACAAATTATTATTCATTAGCTATATTTTGCTTCCTCTGGCTCACAGGGTTAATTTTTTTTTTTTCTCATTTAAGCCCATTAACTCCCACATGGGGTAATCGTTAATACAAAATGAAGTCAGTATGAAACCTACACATGATCTGTTGTCAGTTTGTACGTTTTCATACCACAGCACCTGGGATTTTTTGTTTCAATCCAGTTCATGTGACACCAAGTTAATGAAGTAACGATCAGCCTCAGGGAACTGGCAGTATCTCTCACCTGACCCTGCGCTGAGCAGGAGATTGCGCTGAATGCCCTGGGAAGCTGCCTCCCAACCTGAATCCCCTGGGAGCCTTTGAAACGTGGCTGTGGGAAGCCACCAGGCCATTCTGTGGCAGGTGGTCCACAAGTGAACGCCACAGAGCATCCTACTGCCACCTTCTTTACAGCCTAGGACAGGAGCTGAAGGTTTGTCTCCATGGCGTGGGCCCATAGACTAAACCCTTGGGTTCATGCTGTACCAACCCAAAGAGGGGGAACGCCAGGTTTTCCTGAGCCTGGCGTCCCCCACTTCTCTTTCTCCATGAGGAAGCACAAGGGGGGGGACATGGGGCTCTAGGTGCCCGGCAGAGCAGCCGGATCCCAGGGAGGAGTGGGTGCTGCCGTGGCTGGTCCGGCTGCAGGGCTGTGTCCCTCTGGAGCCCCTGGAGCAGAACACACTTGCTCTGCTCGCTCGGGTCCTGGCAAGAGCTGGGCAGAGCATGGGATGGACCGGGGCTGTTCTTCCACCCACAGACAGCCCGGCCTGGAAAGTCAGGTCTGCAGCTGGTAAACACGATGGGCCTGGGGGGGACAGGAGACAGAAACCTGCTAATTGCCTTTCTGGGATTTTTTTTTTTTTTTTGCTTGCTAGTAGTTTTGGGTTTAGATTTGACCAAAACAAAAGCTTTAGTGAAGAGTGATATGCGTTAACCCAGGTATTTCTGTGATAAACTCATTATTTTTCAAGTCCATACATTCTTATTTGTTCCCCTCAGTGGTTAGTCTCCACCTCTGGTAACATTTTTGAAGGAAGCTCTAGGTCTGAAGTTGAGTTTGGCTGTGAAGGATGCATTCCAAGCAGCCGTGGTCAACTGCTGGTTGCAAACTGGGGACGGTGGAAGCAGAGCTGCTGGTCAGGAATGCTGGCCCTCAAGTGGAAGTTGGTTTAGACCAACACTAAAACCCCTTAACTTTAAAAAAAAACAACAAACAAAACCACCACAACTATAGCTGCTTGAATAGGACTGTTTCACCCTGCTCACATTTGCTGTACCATTTCTAACTTCAGGTGCTTTGCACTGAATCAGAATCTACTACAGAATAACATTTCTGGAGCCTGACCGTATTGGCACAATAGTTTCCAAGACTTCGAAGTTATATGATTTGTGAATTAAAACCACTACTTATTTCGTGGCTGTGAATTACAGTGTGTTTCAAGGATATATGTGAAAATGTTTATTTTTCTATTGTACTGTGATTTTAATATTGTTGAGTAAGTTCAATTTTTGTGTAAATACTAGTGAGATTTGATTGCAATATCAGCAGAGACAGTGCTACTTGGTATTTAAGCTCAGGTTATGTAACTGCTTTAATTAAATAGTAGTAAAAAAAATTAAAAAGCCCTTATTTGTCTATAGTTTTAACAAATAAAAAGATTTTGTTTTTTAATAAAGCACGGGGGGTGTCTGCATGTACATTTAATGTGAGGCATGGCTTTTGAAGTTGTAACTATTTTTAGTGGCAGCAGAACCGCAGCCAGAGTCACTGGCACTGTACCTAGCAACCTCACTTTGTAACCGCTCCAATAAAATTATGAAACATTTTTTTTCTGCCTTTTGTGTTACTGCAGTTAATTCATGTTTCCAGGTGATTCTTCAGGCTGCGATACATACTTAAAAACAGATAATAAAAGGATTGCAAAAAATAAAAGATTTAAAACCTTGAGCAGAACCAGTCTCATCAGCTGGGGATCCAAATAAGTGAGTAAATGAAGTGTTGAGGGATATGCTTCATCTTTGAGGATTTTAGGGGGCAGCGTGTAGGCAGGTGGCAGGGGAATGACCCACCTCCTGACCCAGATGAAAGCAGAAGGTGTGGGGTTCTGCAGGCAGAGGGCTGACCCCGTGTCCCCCTCCCCACCAGCTCCCATTGACAGCATTCAGCTGGGCACGAACCCACTCCCTGTCCCTTCCTCCCTTTTCCTTCTGCAGCTCCCCCTCGGCCTCGGGTGTTTATTCCTCCAATTACTGTCCAGCATGTACAACCGTAATCCAACAGCCTGGAGTGCATCCTCTAGTACGTACAGATCAAAAGCTAAATCTGTCTTTTCAGAAACTTGCTGTTTTTTTCTCTTTGGCAATGGCTGCTACACACTGATGGTTGCTGGATGCAGAGTGACTGTTGCTTCCCAAATGCCTTAACATACAAAAAACACTTAAAGTATTTAACTCCCTATTTTATCCCTACCTTGCCTGACAGCAGAGCAATTTCAGATTTTATATTGACCTCTGTTTTCATGCCATTGGCTTGTTTCGCTGCCTGCAGCTTCCCTAACTTCACACAGCATGCAGTTTCATTCTGCTTACCTGTTTATTTAAGTCAGGTGGCTGCAGTGCCTGGAGGTAGCCTCGCTCCTGTGGGCTTGGGGTGTTGGTAGAAGAGCTCTGGGGTGCTGTGGGGCTGGGTGCAGGCTGCCAGCACCCCCCAACCTCTGCCCACTCCTGCATCCCTGGGCAGGATGGAGAGATGGCCCCCTGTGAACCTCATGAAGTTCAACAAGGCCAAGTGCAAAGGTCCTGCACCTGGGTCAGGGCAACCCCAAGCACAAACACAGGCTGGGTGGGAAACGGATTGAGAGCAGCCCTGAGGAGAAGCAGCTGAGGGTGCTGGGGGATGAAAAGGTGGGCTTGAGCCATCAATGTGTACTCACAGCCCAGAAAGCCAACTGCATCCTGGGCTGCATCCCCAGCAGCAAGTCAAGGGAAAGGATTCTGCCCCTCTACCCAGCTCTGGAGGCAGCACATGACCATAAGGAATATTAGTTTATAAACTTTTAAAAAATAATCTTACAGCATTAAAAAGAGGAGACAAATCTGTGGCAATAAGCAATGGGCTTGATAGATAAATAATTGAATAAATGGGGGTTTTCACACCATGCAGCTCAGCTTTCTACTGCCGACATCAGGCTCCTGCTCCAGTGCAAGTGGGTGGGAGATGCTGGGAATGCCACTGTAGAGTTCGGGCTGAATTCAAGGGGGCTGGGCTGGGAGTAAGTCAGTGCTTGGAGGCTCCTGGGAGAAGTGACACATTCCTGTGGGATTTACCCGGAATCATTGCTGGCAGCGAGGCGGCTGGCTAGTGCGTAGCCCCACCAGACTCGGTGGTGTCCCAGCCCCGCTGCCCGTGCAGGCAGCCCCACAGCCATGTCTGCATCCCTGCGGGGTTAAACATGACCGAGGGCTCATGGTGAGAGATGCAGAGCTGCTCGGTGCCGCTGAGACTGAACCAACCGTGTCTGCTGGCACAAATATAAATACCCAGAGACTTCATGAGTTACATGGCAGCTGAGTGTGGGTGTCACAAATGCTAGCAGTGCCTCTACGTGAGGTACCAAGAGGACAGTGAAGCGCCGGGTGTATTTATAGCCCCTGGGGCGCACACACAGTGCTCCTTGGGGAAAGGCATCACCGCCCTGCGGGGTGGCAATGACCCACTGCGCTCCCCAGCCCCGTGGTGGGAGCAGCCTCCTGCCAGCTTGTCCACCACTGCTGGCCAGAAGCTGGGCTGCATGAACGGCTCGTCTCACCCATGGGGCAGGAGCAGAAGCCCTGGAGCTGGACACCCCCACTCCCTTTGGGACACTCAGTCCCCAGCCGGGGTCACGGCAGCTGGCACCGGGCAGCAGCCAGCAGGCAGGTGTCTCAAAGCCCAGGCATATTCTCGACTTCCCAGCTGAGAATCAGGCAGCAACTCCCACAGGGAAACCCCCACCAGGGCCCTGAGCGGCTGCGCCTCTGCCTGCGGGAGCCCAGCTAGGCATCCTTGTGTCCCTGAGTGACCACTAGATGATCCACTCATTTAAAGTGCTCAAAACATCATTTACCCTTCCTGGCATTCCCATATAGCCAAGGAACAGCAGAGCTATTTCTGTAAATAATTCATATAAGTCTTCCTCATTCAATTTATCACTCCTCCATGCAGCAGCAGCACCGGCAGCCGCCCTGCACACTCCTCTTGGAGACTGCAACAGTGTCCAGGAACAGGCTGAACTCCATCAGCAGGAGTCCCGCTGCTCTCATGGACCTTACCCAGCAGGGCGAGTGCCTCAGCTCTCTGTTAGTCACATTAAGAACCAAAACCAGGTCCTAATCCACGCCACTGGCCATTGATGGGACCACTTCCACGCTTGCACCATGTGGAAGAACACGATGGCTGTGAGCACATCACGATGCGGGGGCTAGGACATCCCCCAAGCTCTGGGCCAGTCACCCAGGACACACTGACGCTGGGTTTGTCCCCTGCCTGCGGGTTGCAGGGGCCCATGTCCTGGTGTCACCCCCCTGGCAGCACGTGCTCCCTAACAGAGATTTCTCTGTGGAAGCAGGGTTGGTTTGTTAAAAGAGCAAGTGCTTAAAAATGCATTTCCTTCCACTGTGAATAACAGCCTTTTGTGGGAAACTGATTTTTCTCCAAGACAGTGACTGAGAATCGACTTGGCTGTGGAGTTTGCTGCTAACTTGGTGGAGAGGAGGGTGCTGGGGCGGGCAGACACACAGCCAAGCATCCCCTGCCGATGTGCCAGAGTCTTGGGGCACAGCCTGGGCACCTCTGGGTGAGGACTCGGTTGCTTGGTCTCTCTGGGCCCCAGCCGGGAGACTTTCTCGGGGGTTATACACAGTTTCGTACCAAATGTTACGCTACGATTAAGTTCAGAATTGAAGAACACTTTTAAAAAACCATGTAAGTTTAATTCTTCACAGACTACTTGCATGGTAGATTTTGGTATGAACACCTGAGAAGTCCAGCCATACATGGAAAATAGATGAACTTTGCATTGTAGAGGAGAAATGATTTATTTGTTTTATATTGCTGGTCCTTTTTAATGGGAGATTCATCAAACGACACTGTCCTTGCTGTGTTATTTCCTCACTGACCCTCCCAGGAGCCAGCAGTGCCAGCTCTGGCCCTGGTGAGCAGGAACAACTCCAGCATGGCCAAACTCCTCCTGTGCTGACTAGGACGGGGGTCTGGACCTGCTGCCTCCAGCCTCACTGAGTGGGTGTTGTGGTTGTTGGAGCCAACAATGTTGGGCTTAGGCAACCAGGAGTTAATTTCTCCCCCTTTGAAGAGGGGGACATTGTGATGTGCACGTCTGTATTAAAGAGAAGCTCTGGTTCTGTTGTGGCAGAGAAAAACCCTCCCTGGACAAACAGGTGCCTTCAGAAACACAGATTAGTGCAAAACAAAGTCATACAGATTCTTTCCCAGTGTACAGACAGACCAATACATCCCACATAACGAGTAAGATGCAGTACAACATGTGGATTTTGTTCCTTCTCCAGGAAAGTTGCGAGTTAGTGGCACTGCCATGCAGCATGTCCTGGGCAACACACACAGCTTTGACAGGAAACTCGGGACCAGCACAGGCAGAGATCACAAAATCCCAGTTAAAAATAATAAACCACTTTGCTATAGGGAGGGGACTGTACCTACAAATTTTAGTTCACAAAGTGAAATGTAATTTTTGCAAAAGGAAATCGCAAATGATCAGCCCCTTTGGGTAATTCTGTAGGTGCTGTTCAGCCTCCGGCAGCGGAGGAACCGGCAGAGCCCTTGGGCAGGGAGGCAGCGGGGCAGGACGGCGCCGCTGCAAAGGGCTCAGATTGGGCCGACAAGGGGCAGGAGCCAGGACAGAGCTAGGCATGCAATCAGGTAATTATTTATTCCCCCTGGCACCCCACATTTCCCTGCTTTCTATTATATTAATTCCACAGCCGGCAATGTCCTCTACCGCACACCTCCATGGGAGCTGCTTGGTGTGGCAGTGGCAGCACTGACTGGAGCCCAGCTGCTGAACCATCCCAACTCTATCCCCATCCCCATCCCTATCCCCATCCCCATCCCCATCTCCATCCCTGTCCTCATCCCCATCCACATTCATGTCCCCATCCCATCCCCATCCCACCTGTGGGGCTCCATACAGGACCCCAGGACCTGGCTGAGGGCAGCAGAGGATGGGTTTTGCTTCTTGCTGCTCCCCTCGGCTGCAGTTGGGCAAATACAATATGAAAAATGGCCTGGAAGGGCTTTTGTAGCAATTACCTATGCGGCGACAACAACCAGGCCAGATAAAAGCAGTGTACCCTGGCTCTGCCTGTGCTTTCCTTCGAGCTGCAGCTTTCATCTGCCTCAGCAATGTGTCAGGACACGTTTGGCACAAATGAAAAAGTAAGTTGTTGTTTAACATTCTTGTGTATTACTGAGCGGTGGCAGTGATGCTTCCTGTAAAACATATCTGCGAGCGTGGCAAAGCTGTTTGATATTACAGGCCTTATTTAAAACAGCATTTAGATAGTAAAAGCAGTCATTTCCCTCCATCCCCACATACCAGCTACCCATTAAAATTCCTTCTCATGCTCTTGCACAAAGACTAATTTTGGCAAGAGCTTGACTTGCCCTAGATTTTTAAAAGACTACTTGTTTTAAAACAAAGTCCTTCGGGGAAGGGAGAGAGCTGGGAGAAGGACTGCTTCCTCTCCCTGCCCCCTCCCCAAGTCCTACAGTGACCCAGCACCCCCCAGCCCATCACTCTCTGGTCCCACC